TGCTGGACCATAGGCTCTACTTCCCCCTTCCATATCCCCCCCCCCACAGACCTCTACCTCCCTCCTCCATACCTCCCCAGGCCTCTATATCCCCTGTCTATATTCCACCCCGCCCCCCGTCACTGCTGAATCACCACTCGTTACTCTGAGTGCAGGAAGTGGGGCCTGTAAGGATTTTAAAAATTAATACTTGCCCCTCCAGGCTTGTATTAAACTCCCAAGATTGCAGCTTCTCTCTGACCTTGGCTTGGTAAACGCTGCCACCACCCAAACGCAAAAAAAAACCTTGACTCAGGAAGGAGCACTTGGGAATTCCTCCCTGTAGGATACCCTCAAGGCCTTTCACCCCCCCTCCCTCCTCCAGGGAAGAGCTGAGAAAGAAAAAGGAAATTTAGCTGTTGCTACCAGCTAATCAAACAACATGCACAAACCTCTTAGGACACCAAAAATCCCATCCTGTTCTTAAGAAAGGAAAATTTTATTAAAAACAAAAAGAAAGAAAATACATCTGGAATTTAGGCTTTTGCTAGATTTTAAAAGAGCAATTCCAAAAATCAAGCACCCAAAATAGCTTTCTTGGGGTTCAGCTAAAAGGTTACAAGCAACCAAAAGCATCTGGGGTTAGCATAGAAGAGATTCACAAGCCTTAAAAAATAAACAGAAATAAACCTGATCGCATCTAGCTAAACATTCTGATCTACTTACACCTTTGGGTTGTTAAAAGTAATTCTAAATATGATCTGATGATTTTCATATCTGGTTCAAACTTTACACAGCATTCCTGCTACCCCATCTCTTCAGCCCCAAGAGCCATAGACAAAGGGAAAGTTTCTTTCCCAATTTTAAAAAGTTCTACCTTCCCATTTCTGAGTGGTAGCCATGTGAGTCTGTATCAGCAAAAACAATGAGGAGTCCTTGTGGCAACTTAGAGACTAACACATTTATTTGGGCATAAGCTTTTGTGGGTTAGAACCCACTTCATCAGATGCATGGAGTGAAAAATACAGTAAACAGAATATATATTATAGCACATGAAAAGATGAGAGTTGTCTTACCAAGTGTGGGGGGGTCAGTGCTAACGAGCCAATTAAATTAAGGTGGACGTGGCCTATTTTCAACAATTGATGAGAGGGGGTAAATACCAAGGGAGGGAAAATTACTTTTGTAGGGCTAACGAGGCCAATGCAATCAAGATGGCCTATTTCAAACAGTTGACAAGAAGGTGTGAGTATCAGCAGAGGGAAAATTACTTTTTGTAGTGACCCACCCACTCCCAGTCATTATTCAGGCCTAATTTGATGGTGTCCAGTTTGCAAATTAATTCCAGTTCTGCAGTTTCTCGTTGGAGTCTGTTTTTGAAGTTTTTTTGTTGAAGAATTGCCACATTTAAGTCTGTTATTGTGTATCCAGGGAGACTGAAGTGCTCTCCTACTGGTTTTTGAAAGTTACAATTCTTGATGTCTGATTTGTGTCCATTTATTCTTTTGCTGTCTGTCTTTGGCCAATGTACATGGCAGAGGGGCATTGCTGGCACATGATGGCACATATCACATTGGTAGATGTGCTGGTGAATGAGCCCTTGATGGTGTGGCTGATGTGGTTAGGTCCTATGATGGTGTCCCTTGAATAGATATGCAGAGTTGGTAATGGGGTTTGTTGCAGGGACTGGTTCCTGGGTTAATGTTTTTGTTGTGTGGTGTGTAGTTGTTGGTGAGTATGTGCTTCAGGTTGCGGGGGGGGCTGTCTGTAAGCGAGGACTGTCCTCCTTGCTTATAGAAAGTGCAACTGACCCTCAACGAGAGAGTAATACTGACTATATATCAAGTGTGTCAAATGCACAGAATATATAAACTATGGAGGCGGGTGTGTGTGAAATAATTCTGTCTCTAATCTCTTTCGGTTCTAGTTACCTTGAGGCTTCTTGTAACAATAGTAGGTACATTTTCTAATGATGTGGCTTTAATTCACTAATAGCTACAGGGTGCTTTCAGCTCACCAGATGGAAAGCACGAGAGAAGTATTGTTATTAATCAGTGCCTAGATACTACAGTGACTGGCACTTCTATAAATACTATAGATAGCTACTTTGAAGTTGGCAGTAAGGTCATTTCCAGGCAATAATATGATAGTAAAGAGGCTACATGAACAATTTACCAATCAACCACACTGTATTATTTATTAAGACAGACCAGGAAGATCAATGGTTCCCAAGCTGCAGTCTATGGAATGCTGACGTTGCTTCTTCTGTAGGGATAGCTAAAGTACATTGGTGCTGGAGATCGCCAAGGAGCAAGATGCCAATGAGAATTGGGTACCTGACTCCCTGCCTCGCCTTTGAAAATTCAAGTCCAAATACATTCATAATGGTATTACTTCCCACACATACACACACTTAACTTCATCATAGCTAGTACCAACACCAGTTGAAAAAGGAGGGGGGTTGGCATCAGGCTGGCAGCCAGCTGTCCAACTTTGCCAAAGAAATTCATGAGAAGACAAAGAAGAAGATTGCTTTTTCACTTAAGTAATTGCTGTAGTCAGCACAGGAATGTATGTGATTCTGAAGGGTAGGGGTGATGAAGTGACCATGAGACAATCTATTGCAATGCAGTCCAGACTGAGCAAGTTTGAGAACCCCCGAGCTTGAT